CTGCTGACCTTGGCTTTGCTGGCTGGTGTTGGTGCAGCCAGGACCTCTCTTGGTCCTATTGCAGATGCTTCTCTCTTTTTTGCAAAACCGACTCTGAACAACTAAGTTCTCAGAACTAGATTTGTACTGAGAGTATTTACTTTGTTTCAATCCAAGCTTGTACAGAAAAACATTTGTTCAAAACTGGTCTTGGCTTTGAATACTCCATGGCTTATTTATTTTTATGTTTTGCTGCAGTATGACTGATTTTTTTCTCCTTTCATCTTCTTAAGGAAAATGGTTTGCGCTGCAGATGAAAAAGTGGTTCATTTGTCTATCTGTTCATCCGTCCATCCATCCTTCAAACCAGAAGCAGATTACTTAAAATATCTTTTGATTAAAGTCCCTTCAACTTCAATATGAGGAAATCAAAGCCCAAAGCTATTAATTAATTTGCTTGAATTCACACAGGCAGTTAGAAGTTAGACTACAGGACAGAGCCAAGTTTCCTGGCCCCCAGCATAGCCCTATCTCACGCAGAGCCTTTCAGAAAGGATGCTAGCAGGTCCAGGGTGAGGTAGATAGAATCAGAAGGAAGAACAGAGCTTAGTGCTTGCAAAAGACCAGCTGGTGGCCAGAGCTGGGGATTGTTGATGTTGATGAAGAGACTGGGCCTACAGACTGTTCAGAGCGCATATTTCACCGGGCACAAGATGAATCAGGCCTCCTTGGGCCCTGCTGGTTCTAAAGGCTCTGGTTCAACATGCCGGAGGCACAGAGGACAGTGCGCATCTGTGGGAAGTTTCCTCCAGGGCACAGCACTTTGAGACTTCTGCCAAAACCCGTCATGCAAGAGCCGTGCAATATTTTGTCTGAAAGGGCTCATAAGCTCCTTGCCCTGAGTCATCTGAGAAACAGCAGCACATCAAACACTGACATTTAGGAAGGAGGTTAAGCCTCCCATTAAACTGGAACATTTGTAGTAAGAAATGAAAGCATAAGAAGACTTGCTGTGCAGGCAAAACTGGGGCTTATGTTTCCGGTCAACAGAGTCTATGGACAAACATGACTTTTCCAAACAAATGGGTGCCAGCAGTAGACTCTGACCAAATGCCACAGCTAACAGGACAGTCAGCTTAAGAATGACTCCCTTTCTGTGTAGCCCATCTCCTAATAAAGGAAATGACGAAATGCTACGAAAGAGGACGAAGAGAAGGTCTATTTTGTCCTTTACTACAACTGTTAGAGACAATGCTTACACAGCACTGTCTATGTGTCAGCTCCTATCCTGAGAGCTTTATATATATTTTTCAGAGCACTTTTATGAAGGAGCTACACTGTTAGCTCCTGCTTACATAAGAGGAATTAGGCACAGAGAGGTGAAGTAATTTGCCTAAGGTTACACAGTTAGTAGGGAGCAGAGCTGGGCTATGAACCCAAATGTTGCTGTTAACGTACATGCTAACCTCCCTCTCACTAAGAATTAAGAACATAAGAAATGCCTTTCTGGATAAGACCCACAGTCCAGGACCCACCCATCCATCCACCTCTCCGCCCGCCCCTAGGTGGCAAGCACTGTGCTGGGCTCTGCATGTACCGTGGTGAGCAAACCCAGCTGTCTCCAGCTTTGGTGGTGTGTTCTTCAAATAAAGAGCTTCAGTGGCAGCCTCGCGATCCCCATCATGCTCACTCTCCTGGCTGTGGCAGAGGTACTAGTTTCCTTGGAGGGCCACGTGTGTGGTGATGTTCTGGGCTCGCTTCTGGAGACCTAGTCTAGATCCCACTCCTCTAGCTCTTTCAAGATTTTATATGTACTTAATTTCTTGTATGGAATCCTGCTCTCCTTAAAATGACGAGAGTGGTGTCTCCTTTCTGCATCTGAGCTGTGACTGACACATTTTCCTAAAGGGCTAAAGGATGAAGGTTAAATAAGAAGTGCCTCAAGCTAGGAGTGGAAACGGGAGTGGCTCTAAGAGTCAACTCATTTACATTGGAGCAGGAGAGAGGTACCCTGGGAGGGAGGCTGGGGCTGGTAGGGGCCCTGAGATCCAGGGGAGAGAGCCCGATACATAGCACTGGTCCCAGGGAGCCCGGGACATCCCAACTAGATTCTGTGTAGGAACAGCATGGAGCTAGATAGAAAGCACAATTTTTTCCTGGAGCTGAGGACCAAATTGGGAGAAGGGATGGACAGAAAGTTGCCCAGCCAAGGTCCATCTTCAAAGCTAAACAAAGCTGGACTCTGTTTCTACTCTGGACATTTGTTGTTTTCTATCTATACACATTTTTGTCCCAACAAATCCTCCAACATGTGATAAAAATACATGTAGCACATTTAAGATGCACCCAACAAATATTTATCGAGTATCCACTACGTGCAAGATACCACTCTAGGCACTGAAGATATGGCAGTGGACAAACCAGATCAAAATCCCTGTCCTCACGGGGCTTCCATCTGTGATTGAAAACTTCTTCTTTTTTTTTTTAATAAATCTATTTATGTATGTATGTATTTATTTATTTGGCCACACTGGGTCTTCCTTGCTGTGCATGGGCTTTCTCTAGCTGCAGCAAGCGGGGGCTACTCTTCGTTGTGGTGCGCGGGCGTCTCACTGTGGTGGCTTCTCGTTGCGGAGCGCGGGCTCTAGAGCGCAGGCTCAGTAGTTGTGGCGTGTGGGCTCAGTTGCTCCACGGCATGTGGGATCTTCCCAGGCCAGGGTTCAAACCCGTGTCCCCTGCATTGGCAGGCAGATTCTTAACCATTGCGCCACTAGGGAAGTCCTGAAAACTTCTTTAAGTTCAAAAAGTGTTGAAAAACTCAAACAGGTAAAAATTATCCATAATCCCATCAAAAATTCTTCCTCTACATATGTAAGTATAAAGCAAGAAGCCAGAGTTCCTCCTTGTGCATCTAACCCTTTCTGTTCCCCGCATATAACCATTATAAAATTTTCCTAAAATGTTAAAGACTTATTAAATATATACACCCATGTACTTTTTATTTTTAAACAAAAATAGGATAATGCTTTACAGAATGATCTACATCTACACCCAATAGATGTACATCTACACCCAATAGAACATGAACCCCTGTTTTATTCTGAATTCTCCAAGCAGAGCCCAGGACAAGGACCCAAATACAGTCCTTGCCAAGTATATTTAGATCCCACTCATTTTATTGGTTGCACAGCATTTCACTAAGTGTCTGTATAATTATTATTTGATCCCCTCAAGATACACATATACTCCCTGCCTTGTCCCCACTTCCACTCACTGACATTTAGGATTTTTGGTGAACGAGTTGATGTTACTGACTCACTGTAAGGGAAGTGTATGCAACAAGGGAAAGTTCATTTTCCAAAGGTGATGGCTGCTCAGACAGGGTTCTGAGGTCTGGAGAAACTGTGTTGCTAGCAGGGAGATAAAGTCTAGGAAACTTATCACTGTCCTTATTATGCCCAAGATTTATAGCTAATACATGTTTATGTGAAGTTGGCCAAATTAGTCACCATGATGATCACAAAACTGAAAAGACCTCATTAATTTAGTGGTTTATCTTCCCCTTGCCAATGATAGTAGCCACTTGCTTCTTGATATCCTTTGGTCTAAATTTCATCATATGTCAACATTTCTATCACGTCTTCTAGGATCAGTCCATACTGCCATATTTAAGATTGGTAATTTTTTCATGACAAAACTACAACTGATTAATTATCTGAGTGATTTTGTCTGTATTTCGTGGTAGTGATGTTCTCAGATCATTGAACAAAAGATGGGAATTTATATTACTAAGTTGAGTGCCGATTTCTAAGGTCTTTTGTGTCTTGGTGGGTGATTTCAGTATCTGAGATCAGCATTATTGGTCCTTATTCCTAGACCCTCCAGGAGAACCGCGGTGCAGCAAGCAGAGAGGTTTTGGGTTGGCAGAAAAGACCTGGCGTCAGGCCCTGGCCCACCTGTGTGCCTGCTTCCTGGGTCTCGGGATGAGAATACCTCTCTGGCCTACTTGTCGTGAGGATCAAAGGGAAAACCAAATGTAGGGGACTCTTCAAGTATCAGCTACTATACAAATATATGGGAGGAAGAATCTGGATTTTGCTAGGTGGTAGCAGGTAACCTTAGCTGTTGTCGACATGCCCACCTTAGAGAGTCAGAACCCTCGAGCTGAACCCCTCACTATGTCATAGTCCCCACTAACAGCTCATTCAACTCTCCAAAAAGCCTTAGCAAATGGAGCGAATTTTACTGACTATTTCATGGGGAGATGGAAGAGAAGATTCCTTCACACACTCCACAGCAAAACCCAATGATCTTTTCTGTCAGAAACATCTGTTCTTCCTTGAAAGCTCACCTCTGGCCACCAGGAACCTGCGGGTTGTCTCTTCCTTGTCCAACAGAGACTGCCCAGCCTCGATGGCCCCAGCTTTCCTTCACCCCTTCGTCTTCCCTTTGGGTCTTTCCGTGCCTCCCTGTGCCTCCCCCGCACCTCGCCCCACGGAGTTTTGATAAAGCAATTACCCCTTCAATCTTGGATTCTCATACCGTCTTCCTACTCCCTGGTCAAAACATCCTTGCAAGGCTCTCCGACTCTCCTAATAAAGTGGGGGGGGGGGGGGCATTTTAAATAACAAACGTTTTTGCTGGCATCAGCTTCTTTTTCCCTTGCCATAACATTATTAGGTAATTTTGCTACTCTTAGATCCAGAAACTTGGGCACTAAGGCCACCCCACATCTGGTGCTTAGGGACTTGCTTAAGGTGACAGAACAGCTCTGGGGCAGTTATAAAGCAGCGCTGACCCGTAATCCAGTGCTCATCTCACTGCATCAAGCCTGAAATACAAATAAACTGGGAAGCTTTCAGATTCAGGGGAACCCAGAACTCTGGACTACAAGGGCCTTGGATTTCATCTTGAACAGATCCTTCATTTTAGAGAGGTTAAAATGGAAACTTTTCTTTCAGTCTCTGAATCCTAAAAATACAACACAGATTAGACGGTTACTTTAAAACATATGTACTTGCCTGGTGGGTATGATTTCCAGGAACATATACAGACTTAAACTGTTTCATGAGATTCCGAGCTCCAGCAATATCCCGAAGCGAAGTAAAGAGTTCATCCACGGCACTTCTGGACTTGCGAAATGTCAGGTTAATTGAAGAGTCACAGCCTGAAACAATCCAGAGATATTTGCTTCGCTGAACAAATCTTTACACTGAGTTGTAATCGTGACAGGTTGAGCTCATGTAACATAGTTGTTGTTGTTGTTTTTTAACCCTATTTCCCCCTGGCTGTTCACCAACTGGGCTGTTTCAATCATCCCTGAGCAATGAAACACATTGAGTGTAAACGCCTTTGACAGAAGTAGAACTCAGAATTGCCTGGGATTGCAGCCACTGGCTTCAACCCCTAGGCTGCAGAAGTTTCACAAAAAGAAAGCTCCCCAGGGTCTAGTGTCCTCTGAACACAGCTTTGGGAAAATAGGAGACACAAAGGAAAACACAACAGAGTACTGTGATGAACCGCTCTCACTTGAATCCCACCAACAGTTTCCATAAAATAGAATAGCAAGAATGAGAAAGATCATAGAGTTGCTCCAATAACAGAACTTGCTGGGATGGGCATATAATGCGCTAACAAAGCTTATGGCGTATTTCAAAAGGCAGCCATTCGGAGCTGATCAAACACAAAGGGGGCCTAATAAGAAGACTGTTCTCGGAAGTGGTTCTATTTCTTTTTGAAACTCATAATAGATGGATTTCTTCTCTGTCTTGTTACAAGCTCATGCAGAAGAGGAATGATCACGGTAAGTCAGAAGTTCAAAAAATAGAGAAAGATTCAAGATGAGTATTTTTGACTGTTGAAATAGTGCAGATACATGAACTCATCAATCCCCATATCACCCTTATGAGACAGGAGCTATTCTTTCCCCCATACAAAGGATGAGGGGGCTGAGGGCCAGAGAGATTAAGGAACACTCCCATCAGCACGTTGTCTATGTTCAGCCCATGTTCGTTCAGTCATTCTGGACTGGTTCACCTGTAGGTTTGGGGAACAGTTCTTGTGCCCTCTGCTTCCTGCCTCAAGTACCTGCATGTCTGTCTCTGTGTCTGTCTGTCTCTGTCTCTGTGTATCTCTCCTCCTGTCTGGGGCCTTTCTGTGGTTAGAAGCATAGAAGTCAGCACTCAGAAACAACAGAGCTTTCTCATCGCTTGGGGGGTACCATTCTGAATTGTGGTCTCCATAGCCTTATGGAGGGGGCAGTAGGACTGAGCCCCAGTTGCCCCCAACAGTAACTCACTCATGAATGCCTCCTCTACTGGCTTTCCTTCCTCTCCTGTCTCACTTCCCTACGTCCTGACCACACTGCCTCGGACATCTTCTCAAATACAGTACTTGCACCCAAATCCTTGTCTCAGGACACCAGAGCTGCCAGGGTGATTTTAACACAGGCAGCTTGGGTCCAGAATCTATATTCTTTTTTTCAGAACAGATTTATTGAGGTTCAGTTCATACACCACACAGTTAACCCATTTCAAGTGTACAATTCAATAGCTTTTAGTATATTCACATAGTTGTACAATCATCATTCCTACAATCAACTTTAGAACATTTTTTATCACCTCAACAAGAAACTCCATACCTGTTAACTGTCACTCCCCCTTTCCCCCTACCCCCAGACCCTGGCACCACTGATCTGCTCTCTGTCTCTATGGATTTCCCTACTCTGGACATTTCATATAAATGGAATCATAGAATATATGGTCTTTTGTGACTGGCTTCTTTCACTTAGCACAATGTTTTCAGGGCTCATCCAAGTTGTAGGATGCACCAGCACTTAGTTTCTTTTTATTGCTGACTAATAGTCATTGTATAGATATACCACATTTTAAATATCCATTCATTGGTTGATGAACATTTGGGTGTTTCCACATTTTGGCTATTATGAATAATGCTTCTAGTTTTACATGTACAAGTTTCTGTGTGGACATACATTTTCATTTCTCTTGGGTACATATTTAGGAATAGAATTTCTGGGTCATGTGGCAACTCTGTATTTAACCGTTTGAGGAATTGCTAGGCTGTTTTCCAAAGTGACAGCACCATTTTACATTCCCACCCTCAGTGTAAGAGGGTTTTCTCTGCATCCTCAAAAATGCTTGTTATCAACTATCTTCTTGATTGTAGCTCTCCTAGTGGATGTGAAGTGAAGAGATACTTGTTAATTTTGATAAAGAGAGAAGTTTTTAGGAAGTACAGGTAGATCCAAACAAGCTTCAACTAAAATGGAGTGTATCTAAAGTACATAGGAACATCCAAAGGAACCCAATGGCAGCAGACACAGTGTGTAGATAGTTGAGCCTGTGCTTTCAATAACTGTGGTACACTGTATATAACTCTTAAAGGGAGGGCAAAATTCTGAACTGTTTTTACTCACACTTCTGACACCAAATGTGTGGACTTTTCCCCCCATACCAACCAATTCTCTAACTCTCCACACATCAACTGAGTGTCCTACAATTCAAATCAATTCTGCCACTAGCTATGTAGAGTTAGTGCAGACCCCACCCAGACTGCCCCCACTTCAGATGCCAAGTTTAAATCCCAGGTTGCCAGTTGCACTCCTGACCTATCAATCAAGGGTTCCCATGACCCCTTCCTCAGGTTCAATAATTTGCTAGAACAGCTCACAGAACTCAGGAAAGGGCTTTACTTACTGGGACCAGTTTATTACAAGGGATGCAACTCAGGAACAGTCAAATGGAAGAGATGCAGAGGGCCAGGTATGGGGGAAGGAGAGCAGGACTTCCATGCCTTCTCCAGGTGCTCCACCTGCCCAGTATCTTGATGTGTTCACCAACCAAGAGGCTCTTCAAACACTATTGTTTAGGAGACCTTATGGAGGTTTCATTACATAGGCACAATTGATTAAATTATTGGCCACTGGTGATTAATGCATCTCTCAGCTGCTCTATTCACTCTGGAAGTTGCGGGGGTAGGGCTGAAAGTTCCACTACTCTAAACGTGCCTTGGTTTTTCTGGCAACCAGCTCCCATCCTGAAGCTATTATTCCCCCAACCACCAATCATCCCATTAGCATATAAGACACTCTCATCTTTCTGGAAATTCCAAGGGTTTTAAGAGCTGTGTGCTAGGAACTGTGGACAAAGACCAATATGCATATTTCTTATTGTATCATAAAAATCCTCTGACCAGTCTCTATTTCCTGGTCTCCAGAAATGTCCAACTCACTGTCATTTAAAAAATCAGGGGCTTCCCTGGTGGCGCAGTGGTTGACAGTCCGCCTGCCGATGCAGGGGACACGGGTTTGTGCCCTGGTCTGGGAAGATCCCACGTGCTGCGGAGCGGCTGGGCCCGTGAGCCGTGGTCGCTAGGCCTGCGTGCCCGGAGCCTGTGTTCCACAACTGGAGAAGCCACAACAGTGAGAGGCCCGCATACCGCAAAAAAAAAAAAATCAAAAGGGTGGTCAAGCCTAGTGAGAGGAAGCCTCCCCGTGTTCAGTGAACTCCAGTGGGGAAGCAGGGATTCGAAAGAAAATTCAGGGAGTTCGTGTACACTCTCTAGAATTCTACGCCAAGCTTTGTGTCATTTTCTGAGAAGCATGTCCACAACTTCCTCCTTATTCTTAAAGAGGTTCATAACCAAGAAAAGGTGAGATCCACAGGTCCAGAGCATCTATCGATATCATACCATGCTTGCCTTTGGCATTGCAGCTCAGTTGAGATACATCAATTTGTGCATTAGTCAATAATCAGCCAGAAGAAACCCTGGAAGGTTATGGCTTCTCACTGATTCATGTGGCTTCCTTCCTTAAACTCCCAGCCTGAGCCATTTAAAATATGGGAAATTACATCAATTATATCTAAGTGTTGTATACTATGTACTACTACTCCTTTAAATTAAAAATGGCATGAAAACAAGAAGAAAGCATTACTAGCTCTAACACTATGCATGGTGTTTCAATTCTCCTAAAACACAATTCAGCTAATAGGCTAAACTTCTTAAATTTAAAGTAATTCTATAGAGCAGAAAGGTTCATACAAATTTTCATATGGTCTCCTTCAACTCTTTGAAAAGTGAGGACTGTAATGTTCATCCATTAGGCTGAGTGGAATAGAATCATCTCCTGGATTATAGAGTACTGAAAATTATAAATTATACATGGAAATTGTAGATTATACGTTGGAAGTAGTTTAAGCAAAGGCTGTGTAATTCTGGAGAGTTAGGTCAATTGTGGAGCAGGTTGTTGATAGAAGAAATGTTTACAGATTACAGGTAAATTGAACTCAAAGGAACTCAACAGAAAAATAACACTGTCAAAGAAATTGCTGGAAGAAAAAAAGTGCAAAATTTACAAATAAACTAAAACCTTCCTGAAAAACAGTCAATTATCTCCATTGTTCAAACCAACTGCACAAGGGCAACTTCTGTCCAGTGGGTCTGTCCAGCGATCCTTTCCGATGTGTCTGTTATCCTCAAAGCAAGTCCTCTAAAATGTACATGTTTCTGGGACCCCAGGCCAAAGGGGTCTCATCTCTGAGCATCTTCATAATTATATCAATCTTCACCAAAAGCAGAATTTACATTCACTTACCTAAACCCTATAATGAAAGTCTCTCACACACATACACACACACAGAAATGGGGATAAGAGAAGATAAATGACGTGTAAGATCGCGTCACCATCTCCAGCAAAATGTCCCTCTGATCACAGCCCTGACCTCCTCCACGTACACTGCCTCCCACCATTCAGAGTATCTCCTCCGTGAGTGCAGCTCATTCCATATCGTGCTGCCATTAATAGCTAAAGGAGATGCGGGTGCAAAAGCTATGAAATGGGATGAATTCTTTTTTGGTGTAAAAGCTATAATCACTGAAAGCTCACTTATAGAATCACTTATGCCAGACACTATTCTAAGAAGTTTATACATATTAGCTCACTTAATCTCCTCAGAAACCCAATAGTAGTAGTAGTAGTAGTACCTAGATAGTAGGTACCACTATCATCCCCATTTTGCAGATGGGGAAACTGAGCCATAGAGAAGTTAAGTGACACACGGTCACTCAAGTAGTAAGTGGTAAAGCTAAGATGCAAACTCTTGCAGTCTAACGCCCAAGACGGTTGTGTTAACCACTCTACCCTGCTGT